TGAGAGCAGATTTATTTGAAAACCTTACACTGCCAACATCATACCTGGCACTTCTGACTGATGTGACAGTGGAAACCACCTCCTCTGCAGAGCTCTGATGTTTTCCACTCAAATATCCTGTTGATCTCACCTCTAGCAAGTCGTCTCTGACTGTGCAGATATCCCCAATGCAGCCAAACCATCTTGCTATCCCGTTTGTACAATCCCCTATGAATGACCCCCTCTGTATTTGTCTGCATGTGCAGCCAGTCCATAATAGTCCCATTTCTTCTGGCAAGTGTCGTTGCCAAGGAGTCTGGGCATGTGCAGATGCTCAGGGTCTTCTGAGGACACTCTGTGGTCATCCTCCTGGTATCATTCGGCTGTCATCCAGTGGCCATTAACTCTCTCTGTCCCTGGCCACTGCTTGGCCAGTCACCTACAAGTGGCTTCTAACTCTCATACATAGCACAGGGTCCTGCAGACACTGACCACCTCTACCATCCATGCATGTGCGCTCCACACATGGCTTGCCTCCCCTGCTCAACTCAAACCACATCACCCTGCTCATTCTCACCACATCCTTCTCCTTTTTTCTGCAACCCTTTTTACTTCTGAACAAGAGCCCTAACAATAGTGCTTTTATAGTTAAAAACTGGAAAAGAATCTAGTTGTCCAACAACAGCAGTTAGTTAATGAATCATGGTTAAATAAGTTAGGGTTTGTTAGTATAACGGAATATTATTCAACCAATAAAAACCATGTACTGAAGAAGATACAATAATAAGAATGATACCCACCACAAACTGTTAGGAAAAAAGATACAAAATAGGTTTCCTTAAGTGAAGTATGTCCACGAAGATGGTATCAGTTCTAAATCTCTAGTCTACAAGATTATGGTTGATTTCCATTTTCTTCTTTTTCGCTTATGTTTATTTGACAATCTTTTTAAATGAATATGTATTATTTTGGGAAAACAAAACATTAGAAATAAAACAGTTCGAAATGGACTGTTAAAAATTTTATCTGGTTTTTATATGTTGAGTCTCAAAACCTGTGTGTGCTCTACCCTGATGAGCCCACTCTACCTGCAATGCTGTATTGTAGTGCATTTTAGTGTGTTGTATTTTTGTATTGTATCACATCCCAGAGCAACGGAAGTCACAACACCTCGGATGAGGGTACACTTTGTCCTTTGGGGGTGAAGGGTCAAGATTCCCAGGAAGCCATGGGCTGGAGAGGCAGAGAATTGGCCACCTGAGTTATGGTACTGCCTTAGAGAAAGCCAAAGCCTATGAATCTAAATGAGGTCCTGGGTTAATGGTTTCTAGACAGTTAGCAGAAGAACCATTCTTTTTTTTTTTTTTCCAAATGAAATCTTACATAAAATATCAGCTCCTAAACAGACAAATGTTGTATTGATCTGGTTCAAGTAGGAATTGGGGCAACCAGTGACTCCAGTTAAGCCTCCCCTTTCTGCCCACACCCCCCTACAAAGCAACTTTGTAGGTTTCCAAATTCACTATTTGAGAAACAAACAAAAGTTGGTTTTAATAAGGCAACTTCCATTCCAGCAATAGGTTTCTCCATTCAGAGTATGAAATCCAACTGGTTATTTTTGCACATTTATTACATGTATACCTGGATTTCTTGAGGCCCAATCTTCCTTTCCATGTAGAAAGCTTTCTTTACCATGCCTGCCTAAACTCCTACAAATCCCAGATATTCCCTTTAGATTTTTCTGACCTCCAACACCCTAGATTAAATGAAGTGTTCCTTCACGTGTCGCCCCATAGTACTTTAACTATTATACGCTATTATACCACTTGTAATGTGGTGCCTGAGATAGGCTTATGCTATTCAAGTGAGTCCTTGTAGGTAGAACTGAAAATCTGCATCCTAACCATGGACTTCTTTGTGGGTCTGTTTGCATTACTGGCTTTTATGAAAGTTAAGGAATCTATGTGGGGGCAGGGGGGGTCTAATGGTGACCATGATTTGGGGTTCAGACAATATAGGTAAGGCTGATGTAAGGAAACTGAGATCCCATGGAAAAAAAAAAAAAAACTACCTCAAGAGAAGAAGGAGTCTGGCTCTACCAGAATCAGCCACGAGAACTAGTGATAGGAGGGGAAATGGTGATTTCCACTGGAGTGGGATGGCCATTACTTGAACTTGTTGAATCCCAGCCAATCTGTTGGAACATATACATTCTGGGCATAAAAGTCTTGTGTTCCCAAAAGAAAATCTATTGTTCTGTTTGGGAGCTCTCTAAACAAGTAGATCTCTGTGGAGGGAAGTCAGTATTCCAAATGTCAGAAGAAAGGCAATCAGTCTAAAGCACCAAGAGAACATCAAACAATATCCCAGAAGCAAATAACAGCAGTACAAGCATTTAGAGGAGAGTCAGTCCGAGACTGGTGGACAAATAGCATATGCCAGGTTGTTTGTGCGTGAGAATGATGACTGAAAAAAAAGCAGGAGCAATGGAATACTTAGCAGTCTGAACCAACAAATGAGACCACAGGAGATCACCTTGGGTCTGGCTTAAAAAAAAACGGGAGAGGGAACAATATGGAAGAGGAAGAGGGATGGAGGTCCAGTCATTCATTGGTTGGGACTGAGCTAGCAAAATTCAAATAGAAATATCAAAGTGTGCTCCTCAGGACCCACACACTAGTAAGAGCTGGGGACATTCAGGCTATATATTGTATTCCTATTATTTGTTCCCATGGCTGGGATGTGACATTATTAGGTACGACATTCACCTGTGAGGCGGCTGTGCCTCAGGGATCTGTGTATCAGAAAATATTCCCTTGTGAGGCTCAGGCTATGTGAAATGATGCGCTTGGATGTTATGACATAGTAATCGCTTGATACTGAGATGTTTCAACTGGTAATGGAAAGTTAGCGGAAAGGACTCCTTGATCCAGTATGGATTGCTTTAAGCATAAGCATATTTTTTTTATAGAGAATAACTTTTATTTAAAATTATAGAAAAGGAGGAGCTACACAAAGATCAAGCTTTTCTAGCTTGGAATTGGGATGGTTGAGATAGCACGAGAGTGTCCAGAAATCCAAGCATTGTAGATGACCTTAGTTTCATCAAGTAGAAGGTCATAACTGCTACAAGCTGATAGATGGGTAGGCATTTCAAACTCTCTGGATAGAGCACAGAACAGAATATATTCCATTTCCTAACATTTTTTAAAGGGAGCCAAATGTTTCTAAAGTTTAGTCACCACCCACTCCTACTATACTTCTTGGATTCTGAAGTACCACATGCAGTGACAGCATATTTTTAGCATACTGGCTTATGTTCAGATTTATGTACTATAACTTATATGTTTATGAATTTATGTATTAAATTCCAGAGAATGAGAATATCCCATACATTCAAAATTCACATAATCTATTTTGTTAGTATGCATATTCAAAAGCTTGCAAAAAATTAAATTGACATAAATTAATATTTGCAAAGGTATTTTGAGGGAATGCTAGTTTTTTTTAAAGCATGATTTAATCAAATGGTAGAGCTATTAAACCAGATATTAACCCTCCCAAGTTTGGGCAGAGAAGCTCAAGAAGAAGGCTTTTCAAATAAGAAAAAGCAGTTGTGCAAGATGTTCTCAAGTCTTGTCTCCAAGACTGACTTCTTTGGGGTTTTCTTATTTCAATTCTCAGTGTCATCATCATTGCTGGATATGGGGAAAATGCCCCTTTCACAATCCAACTCGTCACTTAAAATATAAGATGCCAATAACTTATTCCCAAAAATATACGTGTGTATTTTTTAGAAAGAGAATTTTCACTAAGAAAGTAAACAGAATGTCCACATTAACAGGGAAGGTACAGCATTATCAAAAACAATCCAATTTCAAAACAGGGTTGCATCAAGGAAGAGTCTAGAGAAGGAGCAAAGGATGTGACAATCCCCAAATCTCCTCAGTCTGAGACAAATACACTTGGCTCTGGAGGGCACATATAACTTGAGGATACCCTGTCCTCAAAAGATGGCCACTAGCTACCATCTTACCTACCTCGTACCCTGCGTTACGTTAAACATCACAACCGTCATTTCCTACCTGAGGACAGAGCGCAAAACTTGAAACTCAGAGTCTCAGATTTCCTGGTGGCCTCCCAACTTGGTTTTATTTTTCAAATTTGAGGAGTAAGAGTGACTGGAAGGCTGGTGGCTCATGATCCATACATGATTCTCTAGTCTTTTCCTTCCTGGCTGTAGTAGTCATCCCTATTACTGTAAAGCATTCCCCAGTGACTCACTCAGTCTAACCCCTTCACTCCACCAGGAAGTGATTAGACAAAACCTACCCATTTCAAATATAAACTCTTAGTCATACAAGAACTATCGCATACACTTACTATAAATTAAACACAGATACTATCACATGAAATTAAGTGAAAGTTGAGAAAATTTAAGACCAATCATAATATTCAATTAGCATAATACCTTTTTCCTTTTTTTTTTTTTTTTTTAAGGCCAACCTAAATTTAGGTTTGACTAATCCCTTTGGAAGAGTATTTGTGGCACATCTTGGTTTTGTTAGTGTGATTGTTAGCTTTTTGACAATCCACAATTAAAAACACATAATTCTCTAAGACATAACTGCAGTAGTCACATTAATTTCTGTATCAAAGGTATCTAAACCTAAACTGTTTATTTATCTAAACTTAAGGTTTTAAGAGCGTTCCTGAAAAATATAAATCTATAATAATTTACTTAGATAATTTTCTTGTTAGAGTAAACATTAAAGTTTTTGGTATTAAATATTTGGTAAGTTTATTCATTTATCAGTACTACCAAAATACAAATAAGAATAACTGCCTATCAAAGTAGGTTTTAAAATAACTATATTTAGATATCTTCATTTCTGATCTCCTAACTATAATGTTAGCTGTCAGAAAGGGTATCATTAAACATGTCAACAGGTAACAGGGTGACAGAAAGGTGAACAATCTGTCAAACTTCTACAAATGTTTATATTTAAAAGAATACTTACTCTTTAGCCGCCCTCTAAGAGGATATATCCTGAGTTTTTCAATAATATCAACCACAATCAAGGAAGTCAGAACCAGAGAAACTGGCAGGTCAGGTAAATTATCAGGTAAGATATCCACAGGACCATTAATATTTTTTTGAACCTGTTTTCAGAAAACCATTTAGAAGGATTATATTTTTGTGCTTTCTTTGTTTAAAATTCTTTTAATAGTCTGAAAGTAGCAATAAATCAATTATAAAGACATTTGCTAAAAGACTAGAAGCATGATTTCCAGATTTTCAGGTGTTCAACCCCATAAGCTTTTGAACAATTTGTAAAGATGTAACAAAGATTCCTATCAGTGGAAGAGCTTTCAGTTCAAGATAGAGCTTGGTAAATATACACAAAAATACAATGGCAGGCTCCTGGTAATGGTGGGATGTGCAATTTCTTCCAACTCTTCTGCTAAGCAGAGCTTTTGGGAGTCCTTAGGTCAGAGAATGAGGGGGACAGATATTGGATGGAGTTCAGGGTTTTCCAAGAAGGGAGAGCCCAGGTAAACCCAGGCAGGTTTTAGGATACTTCCTTCATCTGATTAAGGTATCTACAAAAAAACCTATGGCAAGCATCATATTAGTGGTGATATGTTGAGTTTTTCCTCTGAGATCAGGAAGAAGACAAAGGTGCCACCATGACCAATTCTATTCAGCATCGTACTAGAGGTCTTAGCTGGTATAATGAGGGAAGAGAAAGAAAGAAACACTGTTCATATATATATATATATATATATATATATATATATAATTATTCCACATATATATATATATATTTCCATAGACTACATAATTGTACATGGGGAAAATCTCCCCAAAATAGATAAATTATTTCTAAATACCAATAAAGCGAAAATGCAATTTTAAAAAATGATACCATTCAATGCAACCTCAATCAAAATTCAAAGTTTTTGTGGAAAATGACAAGCGGACTTTAAAACCCATATAGAACTACAGAGGGCAAGACATTTAGATGAAAAAGATATAAAGATGGGCGCCTGGGTGGCTCAGATGGTTAAGCGTCTGCCTTCGGCTCAGGTCATGATCTCAGGGTCCTGGGATCGAGTCCCGCATCCGGCTCTCTGCTCCTTGGGAGCCTACTTCTCCCTCTGCCTCTCTCTCTCTCTCTCTCTCATGAATAAATAAATAAAATCTTAAAAAAAAAAAAAGATATAAAGATTTACTCTTTTGGCTATAAAGAGCTATTCTACAGCTAGAAGAATTAAATCAATGTGATGTTGGTATAGGTATATAAAAGTAGGCAGTGGACAAAACAAGGCTTGAAATAGACGTGTATATATACACGCCTGATTTACAACAAAAGCAGCACCACAGAGAAATGTGGAAAGACAGACTTTTTAATAAACAGTGCTCAGTCCATTAGACATTAATTGGGGGGAAAAACAGACTCCCCACTACACAACATATACAAAAATTAGTTTCAAATGGACTATGAATCCAGAAGAGGATGTAAAATAATACAGGCTCCAAAATATAATATAGGAGGACATCTACAGGTCTTTGAAGTTCAGATTCACAGTATGACAAAGTCTTTTCAAGTTACCAAAATTATTATCCATGAAAAAAAGAAACTGATAAACTGCACTGTTTTTAAATTAAGAACTCTTCATCCAAAAATGGCATGAAAAGTATTAAGTCACAAAGTGTGAATATATTTGCAATACATATGATCAACAAAGGGCTTGAAATCTGAATATATAAATAACTTCTGAATCAACTCCAAAAAGATAAATAACACAATAGGAAAAAATTGGCAAGATGAGAAAACACCCAATTTCATTAATTATTGGTGAAATGCAATGTAAAACTACAATGAGATTCAAGAATATACCCATCGGAATGGCTAAAAGACTTACAAGGTAAGGCTAGCGAGGATGTGGAACAATAGGTATGCTCATTCTCTGTCAGTGTGAAGTCTAAATTAGTAGAATCTCTTTGGAAAACTGGCATCTTCTGCTACAGTTGAACATTTGAATATCTTATGACCCCTCGATTATATTCCTGCATATTTAACCAACTGAAATTCTTGCCTATGTGCATCAATAGACACATTCAAAGATGTTCACAGCAGCATTATTTGTAATAACCAAAACCAGACACAACTGAAGGTGGGCATCAAAAGCAGAAATGTAAACTGTAATATATTCATAATAAGAAATACTCTACAGAATGAAAATGAATGGAATACAGTTGTACACAAAAACCCGAATGAATCACACTTTTGAATAAAAGAAGCCAGACATAGATTAGGTAGATAAATAGAAGATAGATAGATAGATAGATATTATATATATATATATAATTGTATTTCCTTTTATGAAAGATTCAAAACCAAATAAACCAATATATGGCATTAGAAGTTAAGACAGAAGTTACCTTTGAGGAGGAGGGAAATGTTGTCATTGCAAAAAAACATGGGGGTGGCTTTTTGGGAGCTGGCAAAGTTATTTTTTGACCTCAGTAGTGTTTACACAGGGTTTTGCTCTGTGCTATTTCATTAATATTGTATACCTTGTGCTTTGTACACATTTCTGTTTGTGTGTTATATTTGAGTGAAAAATTAAAGAAGGAAAAAATGTGCAACAGTGGATAAGGACATAATAGAAAAGAACCAAAAAGGTTCTTTTTGCCCTCAAAAGGTCAATCAAACTACAAATACACCATCACTTTATGATAATAGGGTTCCTTAACAGGTTGTAAACTGAATTTTTAAGGGTCTTGGGGACCTCCCAAGTGCTTTACAAAGTCTTTGGGGAGGAGGGAAGAGAAAAAGATAAATCTAGATAAAAATATTCACATATTGTTATTTGATGGAAAGTACCTCTGTGGAGCCTTCTGAGGTTATTCTAACACATTCATATATTGTCCTAATGTAGCATCTAGGACATATTCCAACAACCATGTATTTCTAATGATATCATACACTACCCAGTACTCACTTCTTTCACTAAACCTAGCATAACTATTCTGATTGCCTGTTTATTTTTCTCTCTACTGTTGATAAATTATTACTGAAGGCCAGAGACTCCATCAAATTTCCTGAGTGTTTTATCCCAGTACCTAACACACGGCCTGGCATGTAATATGCACTTAATAAGTATCTATTCAACATATTTAATCTATGAAATATAAAGTAATTTAGGTCACTCACTTTGGGGAAGTGAAAATTATCTTTCACAGCATCATCCAAATTAATAAGGTTAATAGGGCATTCTTCTTTGAACCTTTTTTAGACAATAAAATTCTCACAACCTAAAAGTTCTGCCTATAATATTCCTGTCCTGTAGATGCTCATCTATCAGAGTCCTTTTGAAGCTTCATTAAGTCAAAACATAAAGTCAAGTTTATTTTCAAACAAATATCATGTGCAAATGCTTTGCCAATGGATACATTATCAAAGGTTTTAGAATGAGTGGTTGTTCCTTTGGATATTGTTCAGGACTGAGGACACTCAAAAGACATCTAGTTAAAAGAAACAAATGTGGGTCTACTTTCAAATTCCTTGCTTTTTTATTATTTTGAAATTAACATTCCTGTCTCTCACACACAAACACAGAAGGCATTTTTTTTTAATTGGCTGCTAGACCTTCCTTCACAATTGCAGAGGTAACAATGATCTTAGTACTTTAAATATATACATTATAACTTGGAAAAAGATTAGATAAAATAAACTTTAAGAAAATTTTCAGGCACACTGTTCTATCAAATTCCAGTAACAGAGGAAATTTTAAAATCTCAAAATCTTGCATCAAAAGAAATAAAAATTCCATACCTCGGTCACTGCGATAGAAAAGCTGAAGCTGGGAAGTGTGGTGAGTATAACACACATCATCATAACAGGTCTCCTAGCAAAGGAGAAAAAAATAAGCAAAAGCAATAATGTACCAGATCAACAGTTCCTGTTACATTTTGCTAATTTTGCAGTTCCTGTTCCATTCATCTATAGTTTTTCTAAGAAACTACTGCTTCCTTATTTCCATTTCCGAAATGTTTGAGTATGGCAAAGGGCAACACACACAAAAACCGGAATATTTTTCTAGAACAAAGGGGTGAGAGATTTCCAAATAACTAGCAAACCATGGACTTCTAAGAGCATTTCTGTGCAAGACAAGACAAGTGACATTCAACATTTTCATTATTATTTGGAATCCTGCCCAAGAGTTCTGGCTCCAGTGACCAACTGAAAAAAAAAAACAAAAACACATGACTTTCTTAAGTATTATATTATATCCTATGTCTAAAATTGATTTTGCAAAAAAGACATTTAGAGATTGTATACCAAGAGTGACTTCAAGTGAAAACATTTGGATATTTCTTACTTGAACCAAAAAAATTATATATATATAAATATATATAAAATGAAATGTGTGATTTTATATATCATATATATATACATATATAAAATCACATATATCACATATATATTATATACACAAAGATATAAAATTTTATGTCTATCGCATATATATAAAAATCACACATATATGTATGTATATATACATATATATGATATATAAAAATCACATGGGGCACCTGGGTGGCTCAGTCGTTAAGCATCTGCCTTCAGCTCAGGTCATGATCCCAGAGTCCTGGGATTGAGCCCCACATCGGGCTCCCTGCTGAGTGGGGAGCCTGCTTCTCCCTCTCCTTCGCTCCCCCTGCTGGTGTTCCTGCTCTCACTATCTCTCTCTCTGTCAAATAAATGAATAAAATCTTTAAAAAATAAATAAATAAATAAATAAAAATAAAAATCACATAAATTTTCACATTTGTTTTTTGGACCACTTCTTAAACCTTACATGATCAATTAATCAAATAGTTATTGTTATATAATACATATATAATACATAAAATACGACCGAAAGAATTAAAATATATATTTAGCATCATTAATATACGGTAAGACAAAATATACTCAAAGCTTTTGTATAATGAAATACTTACCTCCTCTTTCCTTAAATATTCATTTCACTAATTACACATTTTACTAATTACATTTATATGATAATGTGTTTCTAAGTACAAAAAGTGTTGAACTCTTTCAAATAACTAAGGATTTCTCCTTGGTACTACCATGTTTCCGTCGATCCCAGCCTTCTAGGTATAGACATAAATTAGAGGGCAGGATAGACACGTCTCCCAACCAGACCCAATATGACCTGCTAAAACCAGAGGTACAATGGGGCTTTTAAAGGGTAGCTTTGCCTCCTTTTCTGAGCCCAGATCTAGGTTCCTGCAGCACCTGGTTCTCTAAGACTAGCTAGAGCCTTCATGGAGCCCTCTTCTTCTCAACTTGTGCTCAAAAATAGACAGGAGTGCCCCAGGGATTACTCCCATTGCTCTTCTCTATCTATATTTTCTCCCTCAATTATCTAAGCCAATCCCATGGTTTTAAATACCACCCACTTATCCATGACTTCCAAATATTATATATTATTTATATGTTATATAAATATTTATAT